AAGGGAAGGGAAGGCGCACGGGCGGGTGAGAAAGTTTTTTTTTGTTTGGGGGGAGAGGGTCAGGCGCGAAATCCACATGCGCCTCTACGAGGACGTTTCGGACAATTTTGCGGAAGTCGTGTTGTATGTGTTACAAACACCATAAACCGGGGTAATCTACGAGTGGTGTCCGGTAAGATTTCGTGTTGTTTCGATACGTGTTGTCGCTGTTCATTACGTCGTTTGTTTGGGTGTCATTCCTGCGTTGTGCATCTCTTGCGCGAGAAAATTCGAATTGCAGAGAAGTCGAAGAAAAATGTAGGTTTCCAAACGCATTTTTTTTATAACATTTGGCGTGTAGGGTAAGGGTGAGCACCCTCCCCCCTGTGTGGGGGAATTTTGTCATGTCATAGTTGCGTGATGCGAGATGGTAATAGATATGTTTTTTTTTTCTGACTTCACGATGTTGCCTCTGGGGAGACAGTGTTGGCTGAACAGCATCATGGCGTAGACGGTCAGCTCCCACAGCCCGGGATAACGGTATCGGGAATGGATCCGCGTTCAAAACGTTTTTTACGTTGTATTTGACTAAGTTCGCGTCGTGAGGAGACGTTGTTTCCGAAGCATCTACGAATGCAGACGGTGGTTGGTGAAAAACATACCGACCAAAAACAAACAAGCGGTACTGCTGTACGTGTCTAAAAAAAAACGAACTTTGGTCGTGCGCCACACGTTCGCTCTGCGTGTGTCCCCCCCCTGGTCATCTGTAAAAAAACACCACAAAAAAATGACAAGTGGTACTGCTGTACGTGTCTAAAAAAAACGAACTTTGGTCGTGCGCCACACGTTCGCCCTGCGTGTCCCCCCCCCCTGGTCACCTGTAAAAAAACACCACAAAAAAAAAAGCGGTACTGCTGTACGTGTCAAAAAAAACGAACTTTGGTCGTGCGCCACACGTTCGCTCTGCGTGCCCCCCCCCCCTGGGCATCTGTAAAATAACACCACCCAAAAAAAGACAAGCGGTACTGCTGTACGTGTCTAAAAAACAACGAGTTTTGGTCGTGCGCCACACGTTCGCTCTGCGTGCCCCCCCCCCTAGTCATCTACGAATGCACGCGGTGGTTTGTGAAAAACTCAAAAACAAAAAACAAGTGGTACTGCTGTACGTGGCTAAAAAAAACATCGAACTTCGAGCGTGCGCTACGCGTTCTCCATGCGTGTGCTACACGTGGTGCACTCGTCAAACACCCACCCGACAAAAGACAAACGGTACGGCAAGTGAAAGCGATCTGCCCTCTCCCTCCCCCGCCCACACACGAACGATCTTACACCAACCGCCACTAAAACACAATCGATCGCTCTTGCACATGTGGAATCGGGGAGGGACCGCGGGCTGTCCCTCAAAGGGGACTTTTGTCCCATTCAGCCATCTCGGTTCTAATCTTCGCAATTTTTTTTTTCAGAAAACCGACCATTTCTAGCGCCGCGCTGTCGCCGCCTGCCGCCTCTGCTTTGGCTTGTTTGAGATTTTTCGTGGCGGCTTGGAAAGATTCGAACAATGTGTCGAAAAACCTCAATTTTGCGGTCTTTTCATCTACGATGTTCTGCGGGGAAGGTGCTGCGGCGGGGGCGGGTTCGGACGCTGGCCGAAATAGCTCGCTTAATCCGCCGGGGGGCAGTCCAAGTCCAGACGCCACTGAGTGCATGGCAACCGCGGCCGTCTCTTGCACGCTGACGGCGTTCTTAGCCTGCTTTTTCTTGGCCTTGAGGTGGGCGTTGTCCTCCCTCGCTCTGCGTTTGGATTCCTCTCTCCTCTTCGCGTCAGCAGCGGCTCCCTTGGCGCCTGTAGGGCCGGCGGCCGCCCCCCCCACGCCGCTGCTCTCCCGTTGCACGTCTTCGGGCAGGAGCCGGTCACACACGGCGAGGATCTGCGGGTACTCGGCCATGACCTGTCCAAAGTAGTAGGTGTCAAGGTTTTCTGATATTTTGACGTTCAGGGTGTTTCGAACAGGGCGAGTCGAGGGGGGGGTGGGAGGGGCGATCGTTAGACGGCAATAATGTGACATTGAGCGGAAGTGGACGTCACCACGAAAGTATATCGTCGTGCTGGAACTTGCAAGCGGAAACGTACTACCCGCTGATGTCATTTAGAGCGCACACGTATTTGTGGGAGGAACGTACGTGTGTTATCGATGCATCGCCAACATGAAGAAAAATCGGGTTTTTCAAAGGCATATTATTGAACCCCTTCGTGATGAGGGGAACCACAGTAGGTCGGGGCGGGGGGCGGGTGGGGGCTGTACTTTGTCGGGCGTTCACGACCAACAGAGGAACACTTGCACATTACATGACCCAAAACTAACAAGGGCGAAGAGCCCGAACAGTACTCATTTCTCGACGAACCACGTTTCGAATGACCACGACCGGTACCTTTTATCGCTGCAACACAACACCTGTTGGTACAAGGCAAGTCCCCTGCTTGTGATGGATTGAAGTGTGCCGTGGTTGAGGAATATTTGATCGACGTTAGTTGTATTATCCGGCCTGTTGTTCCAGCATCGTCCCAAGCATAGTACGGTGCACGCTACATCAATATCATTCAACTACATTTCAACACGACGCGTGGACCGACCACTGTCTTTTCTCTAGGAGTACCCCCTCGACACGTGCCATTATCTGTACCACCTATTGCACAAGGGCCACTACAAAAAAAAGAAGCAGACCTTACCACGGCAGAAGGAGTACCATTCGTCGTGACTCCCAGACTTCTTCATGTTGTGGTGGCAGTCGCCATAGTCCTTGTTCACCTCTTTCACCATGTTCATGAACTTGTCGTACGAAATGTCGGGCTGATGGACTATGTTCGGGTCGATCTGTGCCGCGGTGATGTGCTCGTCGTCGTTGAGGTGTGTGACCACCTGCAACAAGGCAAAAGGGCGTTGTTGTTTTGTATATATTTTGGGGGGGGGACAACAGGCCGATAGAATTTGACGAAGCACATCGCTTTTTTTTTCAATACCTTGAAATGAGCGCTGGCACACGTTCTTGCTGCTGGGTAGGACGTCAACAACCCGTTGTCACACAAAAGGGTTCCTCCCCCTAAAGCTCCTACCCACCCTCTTGCGGTCCTTGCCTTCGACAAAAACGCGAGAAGAGTTCACACTAAAAAATAACTAGCGCCAGGACGGGCGCGAGATAAAAACTCACTTCGCAATAAAATCTCCCTCTCGACGGGATTCAAACCCCCTGACCCTGGGTGCTAGATTGCTGTGAGCATACGAACTAGACTTGAACGTAACCTCAACAAAATACGTTCCTGCGGGCTAACGGAAACGGTATACATTCAGACCTCACCTCCACGTCCGTGTCCTTGAAGTCCTTCCATAGCTCAAAGTATACCGACCGCTTGTTGCCCGTCTCCTTATTGTCGAGCTCCGTCCTAGACAACTGCGTCCTGCTCGCGGCAAGGCGCTCCCTGAAGCGCTCGGCGACCATCAGCTCCACCGCCCGGGGGACGCAATGCTTGCTCTTCCTTCGGCCGGCGGTGGTGACGCCGGCCCCTGACGCGCGGTCTTCATCCGCTATCACCTCCAAAACGCGACTGGCGAGGTAGGCATTCTCTTCCCAGTCCATCATTTTCTTCGGGTTAATGCTCGCCCCACTGCGAATGGCGCTACGCACAGCCATAACCAAGGCCTCCGGAACCTCGACGGTCTCTGGTGACGCCGTTAGGGGCTTGGAGGCCGGGGTCTCACCTGGAAGCACGCAGGTTGACAACCATGGGTGGAACCGAGAGGTGTCATGAAGAAAAGCGGTTAGGGTTGGAGCTTTCGTGCACATGGCATTGGTGCCGATGCAGCCGTAGGGACATGCACCAAAATAGCGCGAAGTCTACCACCTACATACGCTCTTTCGTCGTGTGTGTGAGAGAGAGACGGAAGCGAGAGAGAAATTGTACAGAGAGAGGTAGATGAACAGTGGGATGAGAGAGGGGAAAGTCTAACGCACAGAAGGGTTCCCACCTGTTGCTTTATCCTCGAGATCCGCGTAGTAGGGGCTTGGGCGCCCACACACCTTGTCGACATCGGCTAGGGCCTTCTCCAACACTAAGCTGCTCCTCTCCCTCGAAAGGCCGGAGATACCTCGCGCCTGGATAGCGATCTGTAGGAGGCTGACAGGCCACGCTGAGTACGGCTTGTTCTGGTTGCGTTTGAGGGACCTCTGGGTCATGGCGGACGCCACCGACTGCTGCGGCGTTGGGGATGGAGATTTCGCCCTCGACGGTGTTTTACCCTTCTCCATCACAACAGTGAGTACCGGTGCATCAAGCGCCGTGCGCGCTGAGCTTCCGGTTGCCGCGCCGTTGTTGCTGGAATGGTGTTGTGTGTCGAAGGAGTGGTCACTACTGCTGTCGCCACCGGTACCATCATCGCCGCCGACATCATCGCCGCCGGCACCAATGCCGCCGACCTCCTCGTCCCTCATGATATCAAGCAGGGTTTCCGCCATCTTCGGAGGACCTGATGACCCAGCCCCTGTGGCGGCCCTCGCCGGAGGGGGAGATGGATCAGGGGTGTGTAGCGCCGACGGAATGCCAGAGATGCCTGGGAGCATTCCGCGCGCGCTCGAATCCTCGCCGGCAGCGGCGCCAAGATGGCCCTCCTTTCTGTATCTGGCTGGGGTAGCAGCCATCCGGCGGCCAGTAGCCCGTCCCTTTGTGCTGGCTGCCATGGTGTCTTGGTTGTGGAGGTGTTGACGGCGAAGGTGTTGANACCTGGGAGCATTCCGCGCGCGCTCGAATCCTCGCCGGCAGCGGCGCCAAGATGGCCCTCCTTTCTGTATCTGGCTGGGGTAGCAGCCATCCGGCGACCAGTAGCCCGTCCCTTTGTGCTGTCTGCCATGGTGTCTTGGTTGTGGAGGTGTTGACGGCGAAGGTGTTGAGTATGTGTGTGTGTTGTGCTCGTTGGCACCAGGCAAGCGGCGAGATAATATTAAAAATTTGGAAGACCAGCTGCAGCACGTATAAAATGAAGATGTTGGTTCCAAATATTTGGACCCAAATTTTGTACAAAGTTTGTACAAAATTTTTTCATGAATAAAACGGGCCTAACAACCCCAAAGTTTTTTTTGCTGGGTTTTGGTCTGCATGGGTAGACTACATACTACACCGGTCGCCCCGGTGGTCTAGTGGGTAGCCGCGCAGCCTGCTAAGGGCCAGGTCATGGGTTCGAGTCCCGGCAGAGTGAGTTTTTTCTCACTAAATAAATCCTGGTCTAGGATGAAAGCGATGCGCTGCAAAGAAAGCTCGTTGTTAGTAAACCATAATCGACTTCGTAAGTCGCGAGGGAAGGGATTGCTGTACCCTTCTCGCGATAAAAATACCTCAGGCATGAACTGCAGGAGGGGATCCAACCCCCCTCTCCCATGTGACCCCGATTGGGTCGTCTAGCTAGTAGAAGTGGAGGATAGGGGCCAGAGGGGCAGACGACAGAGAGAGTCCAATGATGGGAGAAAACAACAAAAAAAAACAAAAATGTATGTCTTCTTCGTCTCTGGTCCTGGCATGAGGCACGGCCAGCGTCTCGTCTTACACGAGCTTAAAGGTTTCCAGAAGGGGTACTATCATGTTGTGCGCCGAAATACGTTTGTATGTTTGTCTTCTTTCTGCTGCTGCTGCTCAGTATTTATAATATTAAGAGGTTGGGGGGGGGGCGCCCTCAGCGTTTTTAGCATGCTATTGTTTTCAAGAGTTTTCGACAAGCAAGCTCATGTTGTGGGCTGCAGGATGGAGGTGGGCACGGAGGGGGGTCGTCTAGCGTGAGGGGAGGGATCCGATGGGATAAAAAAAACGTAAATGATTTCCCATCATTTCCGTGAGGGGGCGGGAAACGGGCGAGGTAGGTAATATGCAGAGAAGCACGGCACGCGACAACACGTACAACTCGTACGCTGAGCTGCTCTGATTCCCTTCTTGTTCTGTCGGCAGTTTATTAATTAATCAATTCACGTGTACCCTAATCGTTGCTGAATATGTCTTGTTCACACGTTTGTATTTACACACGTGTGTGTCGCTGTAATATATCTACATGCCGTAAATGGCACAAGATAACACACCCCCTGGACCGATTTTCAAATATCTATTTCTCAACAAGAGAAGGGGTCACACTGCCGAAAACGGTGACGGTTGAAGAAGCTGTCTCGTGGAGAGCTTTCCAAAATGTATTGTTTCATGCACCCTCTTCGTCGTGGCGTTGTCCAGCTTTGAAAATTGGTAAAAGGGGTGTGTAATGTTGTGTCATTTGCGGTATATGTATATATATCTACATTTATGCCTGCAACCTCCTCGACCTCCTCCGTGGATTGGCGTCCAAATGGTTCCGGCAGACTAATGAGCTGCGTATCTCACGAGATAGTGAATCTCGAAGGGGATTGACACTTCTAACGGGAGGTGGAATACTCAGTCGTCAGTTCGCGGGATCGCCAACAAGCACAGATAGATGCTTGTCTAGGAACTGTTAGGAACATGGTACATTTGACGGATCCTGGCGCAACGATGTAGCTCTGATGGTTTATTTGTATGCGGAATGAATCTCTGGAACTAACTACTGAATGCCTCTACTGGGCTGCAAGCGTATGCGCATGAGGTTGTGGCAGCAGGGCTTCAGCTGCAGAGGGTTAAACCGGGTTCGCCATCTCCAAACCACACGCACATTCTAGTCATTCATGTCGTCAGACATACTACAAACGTTATTTCCTCGTACACTTTAGGGAGACACTCACTATCACTTACTTACACCCCCGCCCCCCCGCCAATTCTTGGGGGACCTCGGCTCTAGCTCGCTCCAAATTGAATGCACGCAATATGGGCGGTGTATTTGCGTCACGCGAATAAGCCTTTACCCCGACGTCGTAAAGTGAGGCCTTGTACATACATACATGCGATATACAATCGACACACCTCGGGTGTGCACCAACGGAAACAACAACAACAACATCATCAGCGATGAACCCCAGACCAACCAAACGTTCCCCGCTTCCTCCGCCGTCGCTAACAGCAGCATGTGTGTGTGTCCCGCCCCCCTTGTCCATGTTCCCTGTCTCTGTGTAGTGCATGTCTTGCCAGTAGCAGCAGCAGTGTGTGCAGCACGGCAGTGCGTCGTGGTTTCTTGCGTGCGTGTAGTTTGTTGCCCAAAAAAAAACAAAAATAACGCCTCCCGGGGATGCGTCCNGACAGACAGACACCAGACAGACAGCCAAGGCGTAATTTTCACGCCCCTGTGCATAAAAATTATTATTTTTCTCGTGCGCACATACTCCACACACGATCCCTCTAAACAGCTTTTTTTTTGCAAAACAAAACAAAAAGCGTACCCCTAACGGGCCACACTTTTCGCAAAAAAAAAACTATCATTACTAGATCGGGAGGTGGAATAGTTTTTTGTGGTGGTTGCACAAAAGTACCTGCAGTAGGCTCGTGCGTCTGTTACAGAAGAACGGGGGGCGGTCCATCATCACCAGCTAGAGAGGGGGGTGGTATCCATCATCATTCGCTAGAGGGGGGGGTGGTGTCCATCATCAGCTAGCGAGGGGGGTGGTATCCATCGTCAGCCGTGAGGGGGGGGTGCTATCCATCGTCACCAGCTAGAGAGGGAGGGGGGTGCTATCCATCGTCATCAGCTAGAGAGGAAAAAAAAAACGTTGGAAAATTCCCCGGCTCTCTAGCTGCTGCTGATTGTTTGAACAGGACGCTTCCGCCACCGCTTTAGATAACAGCAACAGCAGCAGCAGCAGAGGCGACACACCCTCTCGCCCACAATGAGTGTAGAGAGGTGCACAGCACAGCAGTGGTACTACATCGTCTAGGAACGAGCGTGATGTGTTACTGGTCCCGTGCTGTGATGTATGTGTGCCTCTCTCCAGAGCAGAGTCAGAGGCCGCTCCCTCCCGCCGCGTCGCAACACAATAACAACAACCAACCGATGGACCCACAGAGACCCAATCAATATCTCTCCTCTCGCTTCCTCCGCCGAAAGCTAGCAGCAGCAGTAGTATAGGGCACACCCTGCTCCCGTCCCGCTCTCGCTGTGTGGTGTGTGCAACACACGCTGGTTGGTGGGACTCCCTCTCTCTCCAGAGAAAAAAAGGCGAAAAAAAGGCCGGCAGCGTTGAACAACAACAACAAACAACGGAAACAACAACAACAACATCATCAGCGATGAATGAACCCCAGACCAACCAAACGTTCCCCGCTTCCTCCGCCGTCGCCAACAGCAGTATGTGTGTGTGTCCCGCCCCCCTTGTCCATGTTCCCTGTCTCTGTGTAGTGCGTGTCTTGCCAGTAGCAGCAGCAGTGTGTGCAGCACGGCAGTGCGTCGTGGTTTCTTGCGTGCGTGTAGTTTGTTGCCCAGAGAAAAACAAAAATGACGACGCCTCCCGGGGATGCGTCCATGTGACATATATATTTGCACAAACGGTGTGCTATCTCGAGACACCGACCACGGATTGCAAAGGTAGCGGTTGGGACAGCTCGGGCAAAATATTACTTGTTGTGCGCAAGTTTTAGTTTGCAATTTGGTGCCGAGATGGTGAAATGGGCTCGAGTCTGCTGGGTATTTAGGGCGCGCAGACACCAGACACCAGACACCAGACACCAGACACCAGACACCAGACAGCCATGGCTAAATTTTCACGCCCCTGTGCATGAAAATTATTCTTTTTCTCGTGCGCACATACTCCACACACGATCCCTCTAAACAGCTTTTTTTTTGCAAAACAAAACAAAAAGCGTACCCCTAACGGGCCACACTTTTCACAAAAAAAAAACTATTATTACTAGAGTTGGAGGTGGAATAGTTTTTTGTGGTGGTTGCACAAAAGTACCTGCAGTAGGCTCGTGCGTCTGTTACAGAAGAACGGGGGGCGGTCCATCATCACCAGCTAGAGAGGGGGGTGGTATCCATCATCATTCGCTAGAGGGGGGGGTGGTGTCCATCATCAGCTAGCGAGGGGGGTGGTATCCATCGTCAGCCGTGAGGGGGGGGGGCTATCATCAGAGGGGGGGGTGCTATCCATCGTCATCAGCTAGAGAGGAAAAAAAAAACGTTGGAAAATTCCCCGGCTCTCTAGCTGCTGCTGATTGTTTGAACAGGACGCTTCCGCCACCGCTTTAGATAACAGCAACAGCAGCAGCAGCAGAGGCGACACACCCTCTCGCCCACAATGAGTGTAGAGAGGTGCACAGCACAGCAGTGGTACTACATCGTCTAGGAACGAGCGTGATGTGTTACTGGTCCCGTGCTGTGATGTATGTGTGCCTCTCTCCAGAGCAGAGTCAGAGGCCGCTCCCTCCCGCCGCGTCGCAACACAATAACAACAACCAACCGATGGACCCACAGAGACCCAATCAATATCTCTCCTCTCGCTTCCTCCGCCGAAAGCTAGCAGCAGCAGTAGTATAGGGCACACCCTGCTCCCGTCCCGCTCTCGCTGTGTGGTGTGTGCAACACACGCTGGTTGGTGGGACTCCCTCTCTCTCCAGAGAAAAAAAGGCGAAAAAAAGGCCGGCAGCGTTGAACAACAACAACAAACAACGGAGACAACAGCAACAACATCATCAGCGATGAATGAACCCCAGACCAACCAAACGTTCCCCGCTTCCTCCGCCGTCGCCAACAGCAGTATGTGTGTGTGTCCCGCCCCCCTTGTCCATGTTCCCTGTCTCTGTGTAGTGCGTGTCTTGCCAGTAGCAGCAGCAGTGTGTGCAGCACGGCAGTGCGTCGTGGTTTCTTGCGTGCGTGTAGTTTGTTGCCCAGAGAAAAACAAAAATGACGACGCCTCCCGGGGATGCGTCCATGTGACATATATATTTGCACAAACGGTGTGCTATCTCGAGACACCGACCACGGATTGCAAAGGTACCGGTTGGGACAGCTCGGGCAAAATATTTCTTGTTGTTGTGCGCAAGTTTTAGTTTGCAATTTGGTGCCGAGATGGTGAAATGGGCTNTGGCTATTTCTGCTCAAACTGTTTCAGGGCGGTATCGCGTCGGGCGGTGGGCTCTGCTGTAGCTTCTGCTCCCCGCTGTAGCTCCACAACGAGAGACTCCCACAGGATGACCAGGGTAGCGGCTTGAAGCTACGGGCTAGCCCTTCAATTCAAGCTACACAGCAAGCTCCACCTCTCAGTGGTAGTCCGGCTACAGCGTATCGCGCAATCTCGCTCTCAATCAGATGCTACGCTCTCAATCAGGCGAATATCTTGTTGCTCGAGTCTGCTGGCTATTTAGGGCGCGCGGACACCAGACAGACAGCCATGGCTTAATTTTCACGCCCCTGTGCATGAAAATTATTATTTTTCTCGTGCGCACATACTCCACACACGATCCCTCTAAACAGCTTTTTTTTTGCAAAACAAAACAAAAAGCGCACCCCTAACGGGCCACACTTTTTCAAAATAAAAAACTATTTAAAAAAAGGGATAGTCTAGGTAGGTACCGACTACCAAACCTGGGAACGCCTCCCTCCCCCCCTCCTCCATCTGTGTATGTTCTTCTCTCGCCACCGCCGTGTCATGTAGTATGTTCTTATCTGTAGCACCAGTCGTACACCTCACTGGAGGTTCTTATTCTTAACAGCAGGTCCGATCTGAGCACATGTTCTTACGGGCAAATTCTTAAAAAATGGATTTTTTGAGGCTCAAATTATTAACGTCCCTATTTATTTATTTATTTTTGCCTTCCGACAATTGCAGATGTACCTCAGAAAACTTTCACTTAATGTCTCAATTCTTACGTGCGGGCCGGTTTTGTATGGTTTACTAACAACGAGCTTTGCAACGCATCGCTTTCATCCTAGGCCAGGATATATATATTTAGTGAGAAATTAACTCTCTCTGCAGGGACTCGAACCCATGACCTGGCCCTTAGCAGGCTGCGAGGTTACCCACTAGACCATCGGGGCGACCGGGTACCATACATAGTATATTTTTTTTTTTCTCCCATCATTGGACTCTGTCGTCTGCCCCGCTGGCCCCTATCCTCCACTTCTACTAGCTAGACGACCCAACCGGGGTCACATAGGAGNAGCAATCCCTTCCCTCGCGACTTACGAAGTCGATTATGGTTTACTAACAAACGAGCTTTGCAGCGCGTCGCTTTCATCCTAGACCAGGATTTACTTCGTGAGAAAAAAACTCTCTCTGCCGGGACTCGAACCCATGACCTGGCCCTTAGTAGGCTGCGAGGCTATCCACTAGACCACCGGGGCGTGTGTGGGCGTGTCATTGAGTTGTGAGCTCGTAAACGTGCTGCAGGGATTGTAGGTGTACCTCCTCGGGCTCATGTACCCTAATCTTGCTAACATACGTGGTTCTTCGATCGCTCTAGCATTAACAACATATTCGCCTGATTGAGAGCGTAGCATCTGATTGAGAGCGAGATTGCGCGATACGCTGTAGCCGGACTACCACTGAGAGGTGGAGCTTGCTGTGTAGCTTGAATTGAAGGGCTAGCCCGTAGCTTCAAGCCGCTACCCTGGTCATCCTGTGGGAGTCTCTCGTTGTGGAGCTACAGCGGGGAGCAGAAGCTNCAATCAGGCGAATATGTTGTTCATTGTCGTGACCACGGACCGAGTCTTCGCTAGATTTTGGGATTAGCAACTGACACGAATTAATAATAATGTGAAGAAAACAACAACAACAGGAATCGAGTTCGTTTTTGATAATATTTGGCATAACATCATTAGACCGCTTTTTATGGTTCTACAATGTTGCAAGAATAGTTGCAAACTTGTTCTGCAACTTTGCTCGGGAACTCTCAGTAACACTTTTCGTGCACGCTCATTGTTGTTGTTGTTGTTGTTGTCTTCACATTAAAAACCATCCCGGTCTCTCTATCCAGTACCTCCTTCTGTCTCAATCTCTCCGTACTAATCCATCACTTGACTCGGCCAATTTCCGTGGTCACAGGCTAACGTACCTAGAAAAGGTATACCAAAATAAAATGGACCCCAAGGGTCAGCAGAGCNATAGTGGAACGTGCGCACTACCAGCCTGGGGGGTGGCCTTCCGGAAGGGCCCCAAGGGTCAGCAGTACGTGCCAGTAAAAAAACAAAACAAAATAAAACGAAATAAACCAACGACAGACGAGGACATAAACAAACTCGCGCAGAGACAGGGATATCCGTAGAGACAGTCTGAACGCGACAGCAAACGGGGGAGAGGGCAACAGAAAAACTCGTCGCTGAAATTCAACCGCAACATGTCACGTCACGCGGTCGGTCTCTTCTCGCTTGCTTTCTTCCCGCCGCGCCGTTTCCTTCCGCCCCCCTACCGCCCCGTTGATTGGTGCCGTATCTAGACTATTTTTGGGCCGGCTGTCTCCTCGTTTGATGGCTCGTTGTCGGCTGGCCTCCTCCTTGCCCTTGTGCCAAGAGGCCATGAACCTCTCAGCTCCCTGTAGCACCCCCGCGTGCCACGGTACCCCCCCCTCCACCTTCGCCGCCTCACTCCAGACTAACTTCGGGACTCCGAAGACGCTCGGCTTGTCGGTCGTGGAGCCGTACCTGGCTTCGAACATCTTCATGTCGTCCTTCAGGCATGTCAGCCAGTTCTGCTCCGGGTTTCCCTGGCCCGGGTCCTCCCCTCCCACCAACTCGCCGAACATCAGCCGTTTCGGAAGCCGCCCGTCCGGCTGTCTTGCCACGGCCCCCGCAAAGAGCAGGCGCCGTTGACGGACAGTGGCCTCCACGCTCTGGCAGCCGACCCTCTTCAGCGCGTGGGCGTATGACAGCTGCCGGTAGGTGCCTCGTTTGCGCCGGTAGCCGATGACTCG